TAGAAAGTAAGGATTTTGGATTTTTTGTTAAATATATTATTGTATGATAAAAATAAATTTGCCGACAATCGAAAGGCTGAGGTTCTGTGTACAGATTTTCTGAGGGATAACATTTCTTTTTGTTCAACATAACTTTCAAAATTCTGCGTAATTTCAATCTTTTTATAATAATTATTCATCACTATTTTTTGATAAGTGACTCCACGAAATCCTAAATTTTCCAAGGTTCTTAATAATTTTCGATGCGTAATTCTATCGAATGCTTTGGTTAGGTCTGTTGACTTACTATTATCAACGTACTTGTAAATTTTGGTTGTTAACTGAATAAGTGCATCTTGAGTTGATTTTGCTTCCTGGAATCCATATTGCTCTTCAGATATGAGGTTGTATTTTACAATAAAATCTGAAAAGCGTTTTTTAAGATTGTTTTCGAAAATATTTGAAAAGTTTGTCAATAGTGAAATTGGGCGATAATTACAAGGTTTCTGTTTATCTCCAGATTTAAATACAGGTTTAATTGTTGCCTTTTTTAATTGGGTCAGGAAGATGCCTCTTTCCATGCAGGTGCTTATAAGATATGCTAATACTTTAGAAATTTTATAATTTATTTGTTTCAGAGTGTATGCGGTTATATTATCAAATCCCGGTGATTTCTTACCTTTCAGTCGCTTTATGATATGTTCAGTTTCGTATTGATTGGTCTGTGTCAGATACAGGGAATTTTGCAACATGGTTTTCGTATATATAAGTTGTGCTTCATTTGAAATGTCTTTTGCCAGATTCTCACCAATTTCAGAAAAATATTTTTGTGGTCTAGAATATTGATATTTTGATCTCCTACTATTAAATTAATATACATATTTTCATTGTTTTCAATATAATTATGAAGACTTGTATATTCCAGTGGTCATCTTTGTGTATGATAACCTTCAATAATTTTGTATCATTTAGATATACAATTTCAGAATTACTAATTAAGTTCTGTCTTATATATATCATAACCCTATCATATTTATTCAAATCTCCTACATTATAATATAGATGATAATTTGGAATTTGGATTGAATTTGTGTCATAGATTCTAAATGTTTCTGTTAGTACCAGTACATCAAAACAATAATGTGTGTGTCCAACAGCGCCTCAAGTTCATCTAAATTTTCATGAACACTCCTTATGTTTGTATAGAATATTTTTAGGTATGATGTGGTATCATTAGAGAAATATAATTTTGTTGTAGGTAAGTCGTTCAAAATATTTGTTTTAATTACTTCTGGATTGAAATCTTTCACGTATGTATCCATAATTATCTCAATACGTTTCTTGTCTACACGGAAAGTTTAAATATAATTTGTTTTACTTTTAATGTAGTTAAACATTTTTCATGAATAGGGCAGGATTTGTCGTTAGCTTTGTGATGTACATCGTATGTGGTAGAACGACTATCATTTGATTTTATATAATTTATACAGATTGATAGTTTCGAAATCAATACAGGGTGTCCGCAAAGTTGTGGTTTTCCTTTTCAGAAAGAACTACCCTTGAAATAACAAAGGTAATGTGTAGTGAAACGAGGCAACCAAGTAAAAAAAATAAAGGAAAAAGTACTCACTCTCCAGTTTACGAGAAGGGCTAAGTACGTCTCTGCCCGAAATCATACCGCTCCAACAGAAAATGAAATCAGCTGATGCGCTACCGAGCAGACGCAGGTAAACAAGGAAGGCAAAATGTTGCGTAAAAAGTCTAGGTATTGCATCCCGTCCAATCGATTTGGGAGAATAAATGGTCCAATGAGCATACCGTTCACCATGCCAGCCCAAACATTCACCGAAAATGTTTGTTGAAAATGTGCCCGACGGACAGCGTGCGGATTTTCTACTGACCAAACATGAGTGTTGCGAAAGTTATTCACCCCATTACGCGTGAACGTAGATTCGTCTGTCACCAATATGCACTTCAAAAAGTCCGGATTATTGTCATGTTGATGCAACAACCACTCACAAAACAGCACTCTTGCTGGAAAATCGTGAGGTTGAAGGGCTTGTACACGTTGGACGTGAAACGGATACAGCCCCTCTTCACGCAGCGTTTGCCACTCTTTAGTTTTTGATACTTGCACTTCTCTAGCCACGTCTCTAGTGCTTGTTGAGGGATTCTCGTCTACGCGATTACCTCTGCACGCGTGACCGTAACCGTCGGTTGAAGGTTGCATACTGATCTGACACACTGACCCCGATCCAGTTCTGTCGTCGAGTTGAGCCAGTGACCTTGTACCAGTCGGTGATGTCACGGCTACAGGACGGTATTCAGATATTTTTGATGTTGCAGAGCCCTTTATCTCGGTTCCCTTAAGACATTGGTGTATATGGTACTAAGAAAAGTTGCTTATGTTCTCAAGATCTACACGTTGTGTAAAGGGAAAACCCCAACTTTGCGGACAACCTATAAGTTTTAGCCTCAGCCATTTTAAAATCATCAACAATAAATGAATATCATCAGTTTTTAATTTTGACCGCCAAATCGAATGTATACATTGATTGATTAAGAGGCACCATAGACAAGAACCTAGTACTTCAGAGCGAGACAGCTTTTCCGATTTTACTAACTTGATCAATTCAAAGCTTCTTGGCTATTTGGCTTTAAAAAAAAATCCTCATTCGCCCATCTCTATCCACTCGTAAATAATCGGACTACGCCGTGAAGCGCGGGCGTGATCGCACTCCGTACACCTCCGACGCTTTGCGTTACAGCGTACTTGATTATCTCTGCTTTGGAGAGTATTTCTCGTCGGGCTCTTCTGATCCCAGACCGCTAATCTTAATACCATTCGAAGTTGGCGCCAACGTGATTTTCGTTCATCGCACGCCAACGCTTGCTCGATACTTGCACCTTCACCTCTTTTCGGATCATGATCATCTGCTGTTCCTATTTCGGCCGACCACGGACGGCATACTGTTATTCATTCACATTTCAAATGCGACATATTTTCTAAACGATGCAAATATTTTATACGACCTGTCTTGAAATATTTAAAAAAAAGAACAGGCGAAACCTGAACGAGTTAACCCAACTAACAATTATCACTCCTATTAGAGTTGCAAGAATGATTATACAGTATTCCTTAAACAGCATTGTATACTGTAAGAACATTGGAAAACCACCCTAGAACAGCTATACAAGCGGAATGGGCACACCTAATAGGACACTTCAGTCATTTAAGAGGTTGTATAAGGGCTGCAGGTAACAGTTATAAAACAAAAGTGTAAGCCTCCTGCAGCCGCTATAGGACATTTGCGTCAGTGCAAGATTCAGTTTTTGTCAACTATACAACTATTCTGTTACGTGATTCTACTTTATTGCAACCAAACTATTTCTTATGTATTGTATAGACGAAGTGAAGAATATATAACTAACACATTACAGTCATCTTGTTTACTTACATATCGGCCATTGTGAATTTCATACACAGGTATATGATAAACTTCTACACCTTCATATAGGGCTATTGAATTACTTGCGCAGCAAATTTTATTGTGATTATCGTGCAAATTAGTTACCCAATTTCTACGGGCTTCGTATTTGATTCATATTTTGACAATGATCAAAAGTATGTCTAGATTTTTAAGATGGAAAACTGAACTTATCTGCGATAAATCTTCCACAAATCCTATATTTAGACGCAATAACACTAATGTTTATCACTTTATATCTGTAATTTCGAACTGAAGCATAATTATTTAATACTAAATAGAGGAATAAATGTTTGCCCAATATGGCATCGTCCATGTTGTCTTTAGGTTATTAGAATATTTCTCGCCTGAACTGCGGACGTTCAGGTTATGAGTGGTACTTGCTCGGGTCATATAATTGTGGAACACATAATTTGTATTTAATTTCTTACTTGCATGTACAAAATTACATACTGCAAAGATATATAAGATTTTAATATTGTTTATTTCTTGAGAATAAAGTTGCATAGTGGAATATAGTCTAGGTCTCTTTAGAATAATCATTACAATATGGTTCTGCCCAAGATTTGAACCGTACATCCCTCCCCACACAATTATGCCATATACCAAAAGGGGGCCACAAGTGCTTTGTAAATCATTAATAGTAGTTTAATCTTCAGTATGTTACGAAGAGCGTAGAATTTATGGATTAGAAATCTAATTTCTTGCTCAAATACAGTCGGTCCCACTTCAAGTGCTTATCAACAACAATCTCCAAATATTTAATTTCATTTACTTCTTTCAAAGGCTCATCTATATTATCAAGTTTAATTTGATTAAATGCTGGTATATTAGCCATGGTTATAGAGAAGGTAATGTAATGAGTTTTTTTTTATATTCAGAGTTAATTTAAATGTGTCCAGAAGGTTTTTAATTTTTGCAAAATCAGTCTTCACTTTTTCACCCGATGATTCCCATGTCTCTCCATGAAACACCACCACGGTGTCATCAGCATAGGCAATTACATCGCCATCAACTGCAAGAGTGCAGTATACTCCGTATATTTGCCTATTTAAAGTTAGAATGATGGAAAAACGTTTTTGATCGCGTACTCCTGCTATCTAAGCTCACCGCCTGGCTTACTAATCACACTGACACGGAATGAACGGTAACTCGCTGCATTGGTGCCGCGGTGCGCGCTGCCGCGCAGATAGGCAGTAACTCTCGGTAGAACATTGATAGAATGTCTATAGACCAATTGTATGTGCCTGTTTGACTGACTTGATCCGTCTAATTTCTCTGTTGTACATATTCGTAACTGACTTTTTTCTCAGAGGATTTAAATTGCGCCGAACTGAAACCTTTATGAATTGAAGAAGTACAGAGTCAACCTAGTTGATGCCATTTCTTAGAATTCATACGACTCTCTAATCATCTAATGCATAGAGATGTACAGATAATGTGAGCTTTAGTAATAAGGACAAATATCTTGAAATTGAATCTTCGCGTTACTCTTTAATATTGTTTTGTTTTTATTCACTGTGTTTTTTCTTTGCAGAATGCGTTTTCGGCAAGCAGGTCCGCGAGCTAGGGTCCCAGTGGATACCTGATCTTGGAGTGCCCATAGGAGTACTTTATTGCATGAAATGCGAATGTGTAGCAGTAAGTATTCCTATCAACTACCCTAAGTTTGTGAGTAATCAAGTCGTTACTGATCTGACCCATCCAACTAAATCAATTCAAGTTGCTGCAAAAAATCATTTACTTCCTTGTGCTGCTACAAGTAACAAACAGAATCATCAGGCTTCGCCGTACAGTGATCTCAAATCTGGAAAACATCAAAAATCAATGTTTGGAATTTTTTAAATTACTGACTGACACCAAAATGTTTTAAACTACGTACAAAATGGAAAAATATTGAAGAACGAAGATTGTAGACATTCTAATACTTTTCGTTTTCCATTCATAATCCACGAACATTTTGTGCAATGTAAAAGTACGGAATTCTGAAATACTAAACTGTTATGCATTTGTGTGGTGAACGAGATTAATATCGTTCAACTAACCGATAAACAACAAGCAGTTGAATTACAAATTGAAAGTAACCAATAGCCAATTTATCTGATATTGATCTATTGAAAAACTTTCAACCAACAAAAATGTGACTGCCGATAGATTATAGGCGCCTGTGATTGCAAAGAACGGGTGCAACGACCGCGTAACGTTACAGCTTGGCGACCTTTACTTTCAACGATTGTACGCCCCCAAACACACTCGGCGGCCGATCGGGCTCAGATCTGGCATGCGAGGTGGCTGGACCAAACGCTTTGAAAAAAATATAAAAATGCAGCACTAGATCAATTGAATATGGCGGGTTGATACAAATTGTTGTTTCTGACAGATTTGAAAAAAATAAAATAAATAATTATCTTCTGATATTCATTGCAAATTTGACTCAATATTCACTGTAAGTAGATTTTGACAAAACTTTTATTTTTTGCATTAGCAACATTCCAGTTGACGTTCGATGCAATGCGTTCGTAGCGCAACTAAAATAATGTCACACGAAATGTTAAATAAAACCAGCAATCATTTGAGGGTCACTGAGCATTTTTGGAACTCAAAATGAGTGTCCAGGAACATGGGTATACGGTCTCTAATAATTAAATTCAAAGCCATGAGTGATCCATTCAACAACGTTTGCAGAGGAAATGATAAATGAAAAAATAATGCATGGTGGAAATCACAGTTGAGTAGCATCTATAGAAAGGATTTCTTCTACAGATGAACGAAGTAGATTGACAAACCAAGAGGTGGTGAAATTGGTGTGCCTATTTGAATATTGTAATAAATAGTTTTTGAATAACTTTATTATTCATTATGATTAGTTTGCTATAATAACGTAGTTTTTAATAAAAGAAAACTGTGCATTTGAAATTTTCTGTTTTGATTATTACTCTAAGCAATCTATGCCTTCTCAAGGAAGATTCAAGTTGGATTAAGATACTGATTATTATCAAAAAATCGCTCGATATAAATCATTGATTGAAGTTATGGTATTAGCAAATGATTTAAATTAATCAACCCTGGAATATTGAGAGCAAATCCTAAGGGCCGTATCGTCAGTCGTACGTACAATTGTAGGACGCCTTTATGGCCTCCTTGATTTTCGTAGTTTTCTACTTTTCCACGTCAGCGCCCTATTTTGAGGCTATGTTACAAATATCGATTTGCATCAAATTGTTCATGCTTTTGGATTAGATCAGCCTAAAATGTCTTACAATTCCAAACGAAAACATAGCCTCAAAATTGGAGACGTGGAAGGCAAAGAAAATACTATGAAATTCAAGGAGGCCATAAAGGCGTCCTACAATTCTTTATACAAACTACCACTAAGTCAGTAATTCACAGTATGGATGTCTAGTTAAGTTCGGCATGTATGGTTGCAGTTTCCTAATTACCGATTTGTTAAAAAAATTAGGCAGCGTATTTATATTTCGATTTCAATCATGAAAATTCCTGGGTGTGTGATAACTGCATCAATAAACGTTTTCTGTAACATAGACTCTCAGATTATAAGCAATGATTTGCGTATTCCACGAACATAGGATTACAACTATGAATTTGTGGACCACCACATTTAGGTGACAGCGTTACCACCTCTCAAATTGTTACCGCAATTCATGGGATTTCCTTTTACATAATCTGTTGTTCAACACACACATATACTCACAATTACAACACGTTTGGCTATGACGATGGAAATTGTATGGATAACTGTTCAGATAGGATTGGACATTCTGGACATCAGTATCCTTTGTTTGTTTTCTTTTCCTATTCATTTTATTTTATTTTAGGCTATTTCAGTTTATTTTAGTTTATTTTAGTTTATTTTAGTTTATTTTAGTTTATTTTAGTTTATTTTAGTTTATTTTAGTTTATTTTAGTTTATTTTAGTTTATTTTAGTTTATTTTAGTTTATTTTAGTTTATTTTAGTTCATTTTAGTTCATTTTAGTTTATTTTCGTTCATTTTAGTTTTTTGTGTCATTTAATTTCATTTTATTTTAATTTATTTTATGTTCTCCATTTCCTACAAAAGGGACATATTTCATTCAGACTCAAACTAAAAGGATAATTCAGTCTAACTAACCTCAATGAACATTTGACGACCTACAGCAATGAATGGCCATCCCAAAACCGTCACTATACATATCAGACGACTTACAAATAGAGTTCAAAAGACTGGACATGGCATGAATCGGCGATTTTGCGATAACTACTGCATGCGCCAAAATACTGATTTAAAATCCAACACTTAAACACATGATATATTAATAAGCCAATACTTAAGCGATTTTTTCAATTATAAGCAATAAAAAAATGATTAACAAGATTCTTTTGTTTAAATTATATACCACTAGACATAATTATCGCTAAAATAACATAAGTTCAGAATAGGGTGTCGTGCTTTGCATTATTATTCTTAATACACGGTGAAATCTATTCGACATTTCCATCTTTTAAACTTGAAAAACTACGTTGACCTCAAAAAGTATTTTAATACTGGTTTCTTTGTCAATATCATTTCTTCTTCTCCTGACAAATTATAATTGGTTTTGATTCCAATATTGCAAGTTGGTATCTTCTGGTGAGATTCAAACTTGAGATCAACAAACTGTTAAATGTAAAGCTAGCAATTGAATTCACTGAGCGACAATGAGCAGTATCTCGATGGATTTTTTCTCTAGCCGAGCGCACATTGCAAGCAAAACGTCAACGTCGTGCTGGTAAGGTCATTCTGTGTGAAAATATGCTACTGTACACCTGAATTATTCATGGTGACAACTTAAAATTCTGCACTAGACTTGGAAGCAGAACTGGTATGCGTACGACGTTTTGTCACACTACAGGTAAACGTTGTTTTTATTCTTTTCTTTGGCTTTTGTAATAATTGCTCGTGTAAAAATTAAACTCGAAAAAACCGGAATGATGGCTAGTTGCGAAGAGAGCTTAATAGTCCGAGAGATGACTTACCTATCATTCAAAAAACCTAATTCCTCAGAGGCTAGACTCAATTTAATATTCATTTACTTTTCATTTGATCGAACAGGAAAACATCATTTATAGCAAATCTCACACTGAAAACTAGTTGTGACAATTTTTTCAAGTATTGACATATTAACTTTGACATTAAGTGGATATACCAGAGCATATTTGGTATTACTAAACTAACTTAGAAAATTGCGACACAACGAAAAACCGTCTTATTGGAAATAAACCACCAGGTATGCAGATGGTATTTCTCAAAGATTCATACCATGGCACGCACTCATTAAACATGCTCAGTTAAATTTCGCATATTCTCTTTCAAGCGATATTTCTCGGCGTATGCTTGAAAGGCTTCGCTTTTTGGATACTCCACATAAAGAACCAATAGGTGTCAAATCTGGTGATGCAAAGCAAATATATATATAAAAATCCGTATTGTACAGGTGGCCTTTAGAAGAATACATTTTTTATGACTAAATTCACACTGAAACAGGAAAACCTCTAGAAAATCGCCAACTCAAAATATCTTTAAGGTATTCCGACCTCAAAAGCTTGTATCAGTTGGGAGTGATGTGACGCAAAATCTACAATTCTGAATTTCCAGATAAATCATTTCTTTGAAAGCTGTTATATCTCCCGGGCTATAATGTCTGAAAGAGAAATGTATGATGTTGCTTGGAAACGAAGATATATGTGATGTCCTGAAAAAACTTGCGTATGGGTATGACAAGAGTGAAGCACTGAGGAATTCTGGTTGAAAAAATCGACAGCCATTCCAGTATATGTACAGTATACTGCCAATGTTCAAAGTCTGGAAAAAGTTTAATGCTGCATGCTTTATGAAAAAAGTTACTTCGTAGAATTCAATTCACGTTTGGATATTCTACATTACGATAGTTTCACTATCATGTAGCTAATTAAGAACAGAATGAAACATATCCAACAGCTTCATAAGAAGCTATCATGTTACTTTTGAAAGCTTTACCATATAAGATTTGTTGGACAAACATTTGCATAACTCAACGTAGCTTTAATATAGTCATAACACCAGATAGAAATTATGCGCGAAAAATGCTTCTAAGCCAAACAAATCTGTAATGAAACGATCTCACCTGTATTTAGCTCCAAAATTGTATGAATATTTACCAGATAATTTAAAACAATTACGGAATACATTAAGTTAAAAAAAATGGTTTAACGCGCTTGGGAGAAATAACATTAATATAATAATCTCAAATATTACAGGGTAAATACGATCATTCTTACAAATAATTGTTTTGTTTTTCTCTCTATTCTTTCTTTTTTTATCTATTGCAATTCAACATATACTAAGTGACATATAAATCCGAACACCCAGTTTAAATGGTTTTATTTTAATAAAATTTTGTATAAGTACTTAATGAAGCATAATAAGTAAATGATAAAAATTTCAAAATGATTTCACTGCTTTAAAGCTCTTTGACCTTTAATAATGTGTGGATGCACCCTGATGTGCTACGCAGTCTCCAACGCGCCTAGGCATGCTTCTGATCAGGTGGTCAATTTCCTCCTGTGGTATCTCATTCCAGGCAACCACCAACTCCTCTCGAAGTGCTTCTAGAGTCTGAGGAG